GATTTTTGTTTCTTATAGTTTTTTATTTAATTTTTATTTGTTGTTAAAAATTTCACCATGTGTTTCTGTGAACACAGTAAAGAACTTGTGGTTTCATACAAGGCAGGACATTTCTTGACCATATGGGTGACTTTTAATTTCTCAAAAGGGTCTCTGCTCCATGGAGTTGGTTATTAAATTTTTCGGTGAGGTATAAAACATAAAAAGTATGTTTATCTGTAATTTCTAAACTGTTTTGTAGTTCATCTCTAAATTTCTAGATCCACATTTCAAGATTACCTCACCAGCAGATGTCTCGAGGTCTAGTGCCTCTCCTCACGTGGACATGTTGTCATCAACACCAATTAATCTGTCTGCTACCAGCTGGAGATCATCATTCTTAATGTCGTCTCCAAATGACGGTGAGTTACTGAAACTGTGCAATGTTATGTGCATCAGCTCATCTGAGTGAATTGGTCTTGTTAACTGTTCGATTCTAAATGGTTCTGACAATGGTGGATTACACTTAAACTTATTCACCGTCTTGACTTTTTCCATTGTCCTTGTTTAAACAAGGACCCTTCAGAACCGTTTAGAATTGAATTACATAACCGGTATGGGTAGGCACCTCGCACCTGAAAACAGAAACAGAGCCAGTTTCCGAAACGTCGTTTCTTTTTTTAAACAAGGACAATGGAAACAGTCCAGATAGTGAATAATTTTAAGTAGAAATTATTGTTAATTGAGGGTTGGATTAACTTCTGTGAATTTGAGCTTCAGAGATTCAAATCGTAGACCTTTGTTTCTAGAAACGGTTTTAAGTACAACACATTGACGTGTGTGTCACTAACAGGCACAGTCTCTGCAAGCCTTTTTCTCAACTTTTTCCTTCATCTGTTTCCCCATTTTCCTAATCACATGGTCACTAAAACATTTTTATGTATTTTTCTAACCACCTGGTCACAAGACCATTTTATCGCCTCTTTTCCTGACCACTTTTTTGATTACCTGTTCCTAATCACATTACTAGAACTTTTTTCTATGCCTCTTTTCCTAAACCGTGCAGTCACTACCAACTGAATAGCACCTGCTCCTGTGCTCATCATTTCATTTCAATCGCCACTCGTTTGTCTTGCACTTCCAGATCTTCACAAGGGCTTCCATACCTCTCCCCATCACAGATATTTGTGTGCTTCTCCGACATTTATTCATTGACGTTGAATAAGTTATTATCTACAGAATTTAACATTTTGTGCTCATTTGAGTGAATATTAAGTGTCTTAGTGTTTTCAGTTTGCATTCTTTTGCTGAGACTTCTGATTAAATTTTATTTACAGATACTTTCCTCTCTTTTTTCCAGTTTGTGTCCTTGTGTAATATTGTATTATTTAATATTAGGGTGATGGGCAGGATATGTGGCATGCATAGGAGATATTATAAAAGCATACAAATTTTATTTAAAAATCCTAGTGGGAAGGGATAGCTGGGGTTCGATCCCTGACTTCGGCAACGATTTTTCCTCTATCCTCTGCGTCCAGACCGGCTCTGGGACCTACCCAGCCTCCTATCCAATGGGTACCGGGGTCCTTTCCTGGGGGTAAAGCGAGGCTGGGGCTTGATGCTGACCACTCACTCCCATCTAGATCAGGAGCAATACCTCCACTCCCCCCCAAACGATCTACATGGGGTGTAGCGGGAAAACTTTACTTTTTTAGTGGGAAGGGACCACTTGTGAGACAGCCACAAAGGTAAGAATAATAAGTGGGGTCAGGGAACACATTTGCCTGGTCCAAAAAACTCCTACAAAAGAGATTGTTAACCTAAAGGAATGTACAGGGCTTAACAGATCATGAATACCAGGTTGCCATGGCACCTAAAAAATTTTTCCTTGCTGCTATTGTTTTTGAGAGTAGCCTAATTATTTTATTTTAGAAATTTTGAGCTCAATAATGTTTGCATCACAGAACTGTTCATCTTGGGCAGTGAACAATCTCAATTCTAAGATCTTTGTTTACTGGTCATATGGGGTCATATGACTGCCACCTCTCTTCTCATGAGCCAGTAACACGGACATTATGTCTTCCTGGCTCTTTGCGCCGGAGCTAACCTTATCATTGCTGGCTGTTTCTAAGCCAGTCACTAAATCAGCCATTGATGTGGCATTCTGAAATAAAACAAATTACAAAATGTAAACATAAGATAATTCTGATATATCAACTCTGCTGTTGTATACATATTTTCAATTTGTGAAGGATAACATTGGATCTTCTCTTATAAATAACATAAAGTAGGTGAAGTAGACGGTAGCATAGCTACTGGTAGGGCCTCCCTAGCCAGATTGGTCGAGGGGGAGAGGTCAGACTAAGACAGGTACCCTGGTCCTCGAGGTTGGGGGTTGGTCGCAAGGCTAACAACCTTGCACCATAAAAAGGAAGATGTTTCGAAACCTCGATCAAAGCCTCGGACAGACGGACCTAACAGTAGGACCGAATGGAAGAGGAGAATTGAGGAGGCCATGGATCGAATACGGACCGGAGAGCCATAGAAGAAGAAATGAGACAACTTCTGTGCGCCTGACTAGTACTGAGTAATTACAATCACAACTGTGCCTTTATTAAATCATCTACTCTGTCAGCAACTGAACAACCAATTAATTTAGTGTAAAACTCCAAATTCTAACATTCCTGTATGTATAGCAGCCAGTTCCATTATGCCAAGTGACTACCTCTGTTGAGCAGAATCTAGTTACGCAAATACTGTCTGTTATGAGCAAGTATGGGACACTGCTTCTCAATTTGTGTCGCCTCTGTATGTTTGCGAATCACCTACGTTCAGTATTGGATACCAATTTGTGAACAGTCAGTGCAACAAAAATTAAGTGCCTCCTGTTCAGCATGTGTGATTCAGCCAGATACCAACGGACCTAACCATCCTACCTGCCATTCAGTTATGTTGGCCAGATACACGGCTTCCCTGTTACGATCCTGTAATAAAGAGATTGTGCTCCGAGTCAGGGAAATAAAGACAGCCCACCATATATATAATTTTGATTGGAATCTTTCAGGACCTAGCCTATTGTTTAGCATCTAGGACAGCACATGAACCATTCAGTCTCTTTCCCCTTTCCTGAGACCTAAACGTAGTCACCTCTTCGCTGTCCATGAAATTAACTCTGAAGATGGAAATTGCAGTGCTGGTCAAAATGTTGGAAGGATTGAATCAGATGATTCAATTCAAACCTGAAAGCAGATTTTATACGAATTATGTTTGTGTGACAGATATGGTAAGTGCGAACTCCACAATGTCTTCATCATGGATATACTATCAGGGCTTTCCTGGGAGCAGCATCTCTCAAAACAGAAGTCAGCAAACATCTCCAGGCTCTCAGCTGTCACCCGTTTCATCCGTGGACTTTATAGAGAATGAGCGTTCGCTATCGCACTACCTCCAAGATTATGAAAATTTTGAAAGAACTGCTGCTGTTGGTAAGGTTTTTCTGTGGAATATTCTTATGACCCATATTGCAGAATACATTAAAATTATTTTTGAGATTTTGCGTTGCTAGTTTTTGTCTAAGTATGCCTGGTCTGACTTACTGAGCTGCAAATGGTTTTAGCCCAAGATGCGGTATGTGTGATAAATGAACAGAAGCAGTGTAGAGAATCACGAGGCCATAGTAGAAATAATAAGTGAGGCCCCTCGATGAGAAAATTACACGTAAGATATTTTAAGTGACTGTAATTTCTGTAATTTGAATGATTTTAACAACTGACACCCGACTGTTTGAATTGTCCCATTCTTGAAACTGTAAGGCTTTTCAGTCCTGAAACTTAACACAGGTATTCTCCAAAATTGACTACAATTTTTAAAAGAGGCTGTCTGCCTTGGCTAGAACATTAAATGAAGGGGGGAGGGGGTCACAGTTAACACAACCTTTAAAGTACAAGAATTTAAATTTCCTTATACAGGGTACAGCACAGCAGACTGACAGATTTTAAATTGTTGTAACAAGAGTTCATTTATTTGCATTTTATGAACATAAACATAACCACTTTTCAGTGACTTTTTTATGCAATTTATAAGGAAAGAGAAACATATTATAAGCTTGTGGCTGTGTGTGTTTAGCATTCAACTTTTAAGTACTTAGTTGAATTGAGAGTGAACACAATCTATTGGATATCATCGGACCTTCATAAGTCCTAAACGTTAATGACAGTGATGTGGCATCCATGCAGATATCTTAGGTGGGTGCAATGTTAACAGTAATTAATGTTGGTACTTGCAAAGGTCCTTCCATTTTAAAACTTTGCATACAGTGTAGTGCAGTGGTATTCAAACTCTTTTGTTCGCTTCCCCCCCAGATATAATTTCTCTTGAACTTTGTACCCCCAAAGTTGTTGATGTATAATTCAAGTTATACATAGTATATAATCTGCATCTAAAATAAATTAAATAAATTACATTACCGATTATTCAGTGTTTATCATAAAATAATATATTTTTTTAAATTTCACATACCCCCTAAGATGTCTTCGCGTACCCCCAGATATAATTTCTCTTGAACTTTGTACCCCCAAAGTTGTTGATGTATAATTCAAGTTATACATAGTATATAATCTGCATCTAAAATAAATTAAATAAATTACATTACCGATTATTCAGTGTTTATCATAAAATAATATATTTTTTTAAATTTCACATACCCCCTAAGATGTCTTCGCGTACCCCCAGATATAATTTCTCTTGAACTTTGTACCCCCAAAGTTGTTGATGTATAATTCAAGTTATACATAGTATATAATCTGCATCTAAAATAAATTAAATAAATTACATTACCGATTATTCAGTGTTTATCATAAAATAATATATTTTTTTAAATTTCACATACCCCCTAAGATGTCTTCGCGTACCCCCAGATATAATTTCTCTTGAACTTTGTACCCCCAAAGTTGTTGATGTATAATTCAAGTTATACATAGTATATAATCTGCATCTAAAATAAATTAAATAAATTACATTACCGATTATTCAGTGTTTATCATAAAATAATATATTTTTTTAAATTTCACATACCCCCTAAGATGTCTTCGCGTACCCCCAGATATAATTTCTCTTGAACTTTGTACCCCCAAAGTTGTTGATGTATAATTCAAGTTATACATAGTATATAATCTGCATCTAAAATAAATTAAATAAATTACATTACCGATTATTCAGTGTTTATCATAAAATAATATATTTTTTTAAATTTCACATACCCCCTAAGATGTCTTCGCGTACCCCTGGTTGAATACCACTGGTGTAGTGTATTGAAATATATAAATAAGCATACAAACAAAGTGTTAACACTATAAATGGCACTAGTGTCATTTATAGTGTTAACACTTTGTTTGTTTGCTTATTTTTATATGTCCTTCTATTTGTTTGTAAAATTAAAGAGTACTCTGGTAACTGCAACAAAATATGTTTTTACTTTATGGTAAGGTGTAAACCATTGTAGCTAGGCATGTGAACAAGACATTTTAATTCCATTGTAAAAGTTAATGGGGCTGTCCATTGAAATGGAAGCTGCTTCTTGTTACAGGTCAAAGTGTGGAGCAGCCTTCAAACTTGTTGAGTTCCTTCTGGAGTCATCCAGCCACTCGCACATCAGCTGAAGTGCCACCCACACTGCGTCGCTGCTCCTATCAGCTCGCTCCTCCCACGACAGGTAAGAAAAAAATTCAGGTTAGGAAAGAATATAATTCGGTTGTCAAGAGTGTGAGCCCTGTAGATTTTTTCACTAAATTTAAATGCAGTAAAAACTACATTTTTCTTAGAATGTTTCTTACAAATGGAAGCTTCGAGTTTTGAATTATTAACACGGACTTTTAGGTAGAACTTCCAAAGTACGTTGCTGTTGCACGGATTTATAGTCGTACAAACTTTATGCTGTGTTAGGTAATATAAGTTAGTAATCTGGCAGTTATGTGTTCATGTGGTCATGAGTTCGCTTTATCAGCTTACGTGAAGATGGTCGTGTGATCTGTCACTTCTCATACAGGCTGATTTTTTTTATTTATTGCTTGCAGTTGTAATTGTGTTGCAAGATGTTATCACTATAATTATGGTTTGCTATCAATATTTCATTTTTGGGAATAATGTTCTACTTAAATATGAGCAAATTATTTGTTAAGTTTGTCAGATATAACCTCAAAGTTTACCATTTTTGTAATTATTGACATATCAAATATTATATGCACATTTGTATAGTTCCTCTGCATTGTGAAAGAATTTGTGTTTGGTGTGCAAACAGGATCATTGGACCGAGCTTGTAGAATGATACAGTTCTTCGTGCTAGGTATGTGAATAACATCCTTAGCCCATATTTCACAAGAAGAAAGGATATGTGGTGTTTCTAGCAGGATTCTGCAACAGCTAGTACAGCATAAGTTTGGACGCAGTGCGAGAGATTTTTGGTGATCGAGTAATTAGCCATGTTCTTTGGCTCCCACATTCCCCAGATTTAGGACCTTGTGACTTTTATTTGTGGGGATATTTAAAAAAAGATACAAACAGATGTATAGATGCTAGAAGTTTGGCCTCACTGTATGACCACTTGGCCGAGGCTGTCTAAGATAAACGTCGTAGACCCTGTACAAATACGTACGCGAAAGCTAAACAGCAGTGGTATTTTTTGCGTGCTACTACAGTGTGTTTGGCAGACCACATACAATTTAACTTTTCCTTGATTGGTAAATGTTTACATTTACTTTCACGTGTGTAATTGGATCTGGAGTGGACAACTTGTTTTGGAGGAGGGTTTAACGTAATTTGAGCGTGAAATTTAAAATTATCTGAAATGTTTAAACTGGCCCATAATTTTGCCTACCGCATGAAGCGGAGAAGGAGGAGGAAAAGAATAGATTTTCAGGAATTAGTTAGAATAAAGAGGAATAATTTAAGTCCAGAGAAAGTATATTGATTGTCTTTGTATCATTATTAACCAACATTATGGGCACAGGCTTAAAAATTATATGTAATTATTTATATTTTTATACTAGTTTTAGTAAAGAGATTGAGCTGGGGAATGTAACATGCGTGGGAGGGATGTTAGAGAATGTGAAGGAAAGCGACCTCTGGTAGACTTGACCATATATTCAAGGATCCTGTGTGTCTCAGGGAATATTAAAAGAATGTAGGAAGCAGTTGTTGAAGTGGGATCAGTAGTGTAAGAGCTGTCATTTGGGTCTTTCGGTATTTGCTGCGAAATTGTTACTAGAGCTGTGTTAAACGTTAATGAACAGGTTTACAAGATCCAAAAGTTTTTGAGTGCAAAAGCTGGTTCATATTTTCCGTATCATTTTTTAATTCTGTGCAGTGCCTGCGGTGGGGAGTTCTGGAAGTCAGGCAGACGACACAGGCTCGCCCTCTTCCTCGCTTTATCAGAGTCAAGATGTCTGGCGGCGTGTGCGAGTAAATCCTAACGTTCTCACACAGTGGAATGCTAATTTGAGAATGGTATGGTTAGTGACTGTGGAAGACATTTGTATCCAGTTTCATTATTTGTTTTTGTATTATATCATTTGTAATGATACGTTCCAGCTGAATAAGTCTGGTTGGTTGTGAATGTTGAACTGAAAGGAATGTGGAGGTAAGATAATATCACAGGATATGTAAGACTTGAGGTTCTCACAGCGGTGAGTATGAAGATATCCGTCTTCTGGGTTATTGCGCTGTGTAGTCTGGTCGATGTTTACCAACGTTTCGGAGGTCATACTGCCTCCATCATGACCTCCGAAACGTTGGTTAACATCGACCAGACTACACAGCGCAACAACCCAGAAGACAGACATCTTCATCGCCCTGCTG